ATTGAAGAGCCGGCTCCCATCATTCAAGAGCCGGCTCCAATAAGGCATGGAGCCGGCTCCATGCTTGCAAGAGCCTGCTCTTGCATTTTAGAGCAGGCTCTCTCCTATTTTGACGTATTTTAGTGTTTTCTGATTTTCTGGGCACCGTTTGGATGATTTTAATTCTTTCGAATTGTGTTGTGAGGGAATTTGGGTTTTTAATTTAAACCTCAAGTGTATTTAAACCTCTTATTGCATAGTTTATACATTTATGCTAAAGTGTTAAACAGTAGGAAAGTAGATAACTTTTCAGTACTGTTAATGGTTAGAGGAAAGTTAACTTGCGTAGTTTAATTCAGTGATTGAACGGATTATAAAACCAGTTATGGGGATGATTTTGGGTGTAAATAGGATTCTTAAACTCAATATTAAAGATGAACCGAAGGTTGGGAATAGCCGGAGACGAAGCTGAAAGGCGAAACGGAGCAAAACTGGACAGAGGAGGCTCTAAGCCTTTAAGAGCAGGCTCTAAGTTTTTATGGAGCAGGCTCTAAGTTTTTAGAACAGGCTCTAAGTTTTTATAGAGCAGGCTCCATGGTGTAAAGAGCCTACTCTATGATTTTCAAGAGAAGGCTCTTTGGTTAGGTTACGTTTGGTTGCAATCTAGAGCTGTCCGGGAACTGTTTGGGCTATGTTTGGAGTTCTAAATTGTTTTAGGGAGTGAACTAACAATTTTAAAAGTAATTTCAAGAGATCTTAAGCTCTCTAATTGCATAAGTTAGCCTATTATAGGAAGGGAATGATCAGTGTGAAAATTAGACATTTCACATACTGTTAACGGTTGGAAGGGAAGCAGTTGTTAAATTTTTAAATGGGCGACTTAAGTAATTATAACATGATTTTAATCTTGTTTTAAATGCACATTAGGGTCATTTAATTAATAAATTTGATCTGTGCACACTTGGGAATATAATTGTTGAATTATTAAACCCGTTCTGCAATTATGTAGATTAAGGATAGGAAATTACTTGCTTGTTCTAATATGGCAATTTAATGAGTTATAACATGTTTCTAATTTTTGTTTTAGATGCACAGTAGAGTCTTTTAGTTAACAAATTGGACCTGTGCATGCTTTGGATTTTTATATTGCTGAAACATTAATTTTCTTGCAATTACATGAGTGAAAGGTTTGCTTTAAATTGCTGAATTATTAGATACACTTTTCTGCAATTAATTGGTTGAGGGTTTTCAACTGGATGATGGTTTTGGACTTAAATTGCTAAACTAAAACATAGGTTTTGTAATTTACATGGGAGTTAACCTGGACTTAATTGAAGAATTAATTGCATATTTTCTGTCAATTATATGAATGGATTCTGGATTTTAAGTTGACGAACGATTAAGTTTTGTCTCATCAATTTCATGGATATTGTCATGGATATTTAGTTGATAAACTGTTCCAATTTTGTTTTATCAGCTACATGGATTTTTGTGAATTCTATTTGGTGTACTGATTGAGTTAATGCATCATTTACGGATCATATGCATGGTATGTACCGGTATGGGACGGTGACATACGGAGGGACGGATTAGATCAAAACGCTAATTCCAACCCATTCATACATACGGAATGGATTAACTAAAACAGTTAAATCCTACATGATTTCATGTCCTGTCAACTAAAATAGTTGAACGACATATTGGATGGTTATTTATATTTTCTGTTAATAGGAAGGATAGGGATTTAATTAAAATATTTAAATCCTAATTATATGTTGTGTTTTGGCGACGAATAGTTGACCGGCTCAACATTGTATTTGGATGGGTTGTATATACACTTAATTTATGTTAGTCTGTGCGGCTGAACAAGCTGAACGACTAGCTGGATTTCTTATGGTTGGATAGGATCGGACTTTATATATATAATTATGGTACCGCTCTCTGAGCTTGAGTCTCATAGTCGACGGTTAGGGAGCGTATATGCAGTGGGATGCATAGCTAGCTATGTTGGTTGAGGTATACCCTGTTAGGCTTAGGTAGTCATGCCCACTCAGGTGCGTTTTTGCATGTTGCCTTCTATTCAGGTTGAGACCCTCAGCATAGTCTAGTGAGAGTCCTGTAGTGTGGTTATATGTATATATCTATTTACGGATTATATAGATATGGTTGAGACATCTAGGATGTATCTGCGTATCGGGTTTCTGTTTGGATTGTACTTAGGATAGAACTTGTTCGTGGGCCTGACCCACTATTATTTTTCAGGTAACGGACGGTTCCAGGTCTTAGATCTTGTTCGTGCTGAGCAGAGACGACTTCTCATTCTTCCGATGACATAGGCGGTTCCTGTATGGTTTAGCATTGGATTCTTTTTCGGTGGTTCATTTCTTAGTGATGATTTTTATTAGGGGTCCACCAGATGGATTCCCGAGTTGTATTAGAAATGGAGAATTTGGATGTATCAGAATAATTCTTTATTAATTTAATTTTATTAAGAGGTTTCAGTATTTGGTTTATCATTCTAGTTTCTTTTCAGCAAATTTTTATTTATTCCTGTTTCCTTAATTGTATTCTGTGTTCGTTTATTATTAATTTGTTTGATATCCTCGGGTAGTCGGGCGTGGGTCTGGCCAACCCGCATCCGGAAATCCGGGGGTATCACAGATGGGTCCTGAAAGTTTGTTGGAAAAAAGATACAGAGTGGTTAAGTTGACCAAGTTCTTTATCGAAACAGGTATTGAACCTGAGAAGTTGTTCCTGTACAAATTGAGATTGACAAGAGACGTCAACATTCCAATTTCTTGAGGGATGGGTCCTGAAAGTTTGTTGGAAAAAAGATGCAGAATGGTTAAGTTGACCAAGTTCTTTATCGAAACAGGTATTGAACCTGAGAAGTTGTTCTCGGACAAATCGAGATCGACAAGAGACCTTATGTAACGACCCAAGCTAATGCCAAAATTTTTAAAAAAATTTCGGCATAACCTCCCCTAAAAATGGTCCTTCAACAACCTGTCCCAATACACAAAACACATAATATACTCCAGCATCCCATTCATCCATTCATTATACCTCAACATAGTTCCTCTCATGGTGGAATATCCACACACTAATTAATCTAAATTATCATAATTACAGTCCCAAAATACATGGTTAAGATTTAAAGTCTCCGTCTTACAACGTTACATGATACAATTACATGGAAATATATACCATAATTCCATTAGTTTCATTTACATCAAACTAAAGATAAGTTCGTTCTTAAGTTACAAGGCCATGAATACTAACTTAGTTACATTTCCACAACTATGAATATACATAGAATGGTCAAAATACAAAATAGCAAACAACCTTCTAACAACTTTCAAACTTGAGGTGGATTGTCGTCCACCAGTTCATTTCCAAGACCTGAAAAAAATTAATATAAATAGTAGGGTGAGCATAAAGCTCAGCAGGTGACACTTAAGACACACATCTTGTGTCCTTGTGAATCCAAACAAAGCATAGGCCAATGGGAAATGGGGATCATACAATGTCGAGAAATAATACAGCATAATGATTTAATCTCAAGTATATCCAATGCAATGCAATGAGATGCAATGCATGCTAGTGTCGCTCCCCATTTTCATAATCCAAAACATTGTTTCTAAACTGTTAATACAACCCGCCCTTTGGTAGCCTCGCCGCGACACGAGAAGAGGATTGGCTAGTGTCCCTGACCTTTGGTAACCCTGCGGCGTCATTATGGGGCCAGCTAGCTCAACCACGTTAGGGCGACTCCCTAGTCCCCTCTAGGCTATATTAACCTCTGGCCCGTTGGTAACCCCGCAGCAACCGGGTTTCACATAAAACCATTTCATCAAAAACACTTCCCTGAAATTCCCCATGTTTATTTCAAGAACAATTTCCCCCATTTCATGCAAATCCAATAGTATGTGTATGTATATATGTTCCATACATTCAATGTCATGTCATTTAAAATTCTACACCATAAAATTAAACATTCAACATGTTCAACATCTCCCAAGTAATTATTAACACATTAAGATACAACAAAATACATTTAAGCATGCTTTACATATAAAACAACTCACATTTATACACATGAATTTCTCTAGACAATATTTAAAATAATCATTGATACAATTAACTTCTAATTAAGCATGCTTGGCACAACAAAAGATTATAACTCATAATGAAACAAGAAGGTAGTGGATTAAGGTGTTCCTACCTCAAATTTGCACAAAACCCTTAAAATGGGTCTTGAATTTCGAACCCCAAGGAGGGCACCAAGTCTGGAATTGTTCGTATGGATGCGTAGAGCTCGTCGTGAGCTTCGTTTTGCCTCAAACGGTACCATAATCCAATAAGAGATGAGAGAGAAATTAAGCCTTGAAGCTTTGAAGAACAAAAAAAAGAAAAGAAAAGAAAGCTACTGGACAAGAGAGCGAGAGAGTGATACGCAGAGAGGAAGAGATAAGTTATTATATTGGCTTATAATTCATGTAGGCCCCACAGGTGAATAAAATTTTATTTAACTTTAACATATATATATATATATATATATATATATATATATATAAAGTCAAAAAGATTATTATATAAATAAATAGTTACAATATTGTTCTTGGCTCATGCGTCTTTGATCCTTGGACTTGAAGATAATGGGCCTTCATCTTTTTAATGGCGGGGCCAGCGCAACAAATTGATCAAGGAAAAGTCTTCAATTGCTTTTTAATTTGTCCTGAAAAGACTTGCCTCAAAATGTTGGACCAACTTTGGGTCTTTGGGGGACATTTCACATCAGCTAGCTAGCTTTCCTGTCTCATATAGAAATATCAATTTAATGACATATTTTTTTATTAGATTTAAATTCAATTAATTATTATTTAAACTCATAATATAACATTCATTAATTAACTAAACTTACACGAATATATATATAATATGATTATATATATTAAAATTGAAAATTCAAAGGAGAAAAATAACACAAGAACATAAAAAATTAAAAGATACAAAAATGCTCAGGAGGCTAAACATCCAAAATCAAGCAGTTGTCCTAGTGTAATCTTGTGGAATGGATTTTGCAGAGTTGGCCCTTGTTTCGATAGCTCTGTGGAGACTTCTCTCATTGTTGGCCGAGATTGGGGACTTGCATGCAAGCATGCAAAAGCTAGCTTGGTGATAAAGACTAATTCCTCTGCCATTGGAGGTGAAAGACATTGATCCAACACATCCTTCAAGAGTATATCTCGAACAACCAATGTCGGTGGCGATAAAGATGATGATGATAGAGAGGAGATGAGCTCGCCTGGATGCTTTCCCATGATCAATTCTACTACCAACACTCCAAAGCTAAAAACATCACATTTCTCATTCACTTCCATTGTATAAGCAAGTTCTGCAAAGCAATGAATAAAGGACAAGAATAGTAAAAGAAAAATCTGACAACATAATTTTTTTTTTCTAACAATAGTTGTTCAACATAACTATAGAACACAAAAATGTGAGGATCGAGAGGTACAAAAAATTGGATATTTTTGCTATTTAGGCTAAATTATCTTTTATGAACGAGAAATTGGAGATTGGTTAAATGAAGAAGTGCATCTAGTATATTATGTAATTAGTGTATTCCGTTAAGATTGAAGGTGTTTTATAGAACAACAATTGGACCAAAATCATTTAAAATAATACAATAAGCAAAAGTACCTGGAGCAGCATACCCAAAGTGTTGGGATTTATATACCCTGGCATAGCAAATTCCTATCTGGATTATAGTGACATATGTTCCTGACATATCTGAAATATTTATGATTTATATAATTGGTGAATTCAATGTATTGTGTTTCGATTCACTGTGAAATTGATAGTGTCCATGTAATTACAAGAAATATTTATATATATGTATGTGATGGCAATCAATGCATGATATATAAATAGTAATTATAAATTGTTCATAGTCGGTAATTATGGATGGACTCATAATTAATTAAGACTTGAACTGGATCCGCGTTAGGTTGAGATATATTGCGAGAGCCGTCGTATGCAATTACTCCCTATCACCGTCATGGCATTTGACTCTTAAGCATGAGAAAAATATAGACTCTTTTATTAATTAATAATTACTTTGATTTGTTCGGCGGATTCTTCGGGATCCTTAGACCGACACTTTGGGTAGTTATGTAATTAATAGTTAGAGGGTTATATTTTCAATATTTGCATCATTGCTATTTGTATTTATTTTGTATTGATTATGGTTGATCACAAAGTAAATTCGAAGGCCTTCGTGTGTTTTTAGACAAAATGATTTATTATATATTTATTTATTTAAACTATTATTTTTGTCAAACAAATATTTTATTGTGATCGAGCCAGAAATAATCAGAGGTACCAAAATAGATATATTAATTAAGTAGTCGGATTGATGGCTTTATTTATCCGATAACTAATTATGCTTAGAGGGGTCAAAGTGCAATATTGACTTAGAGGTTATTTATTATTTAATTGGAGTTCAATTAATTTCTTTTAGTGGAGTAGAAATTAATTTATGAATTAATTGAATTGGGTCCATGGACCGAGCCAATTATTAATTTATTGTAGCCAATAAAATAATAGGCCCAATGGATTCTCACTCATAGCCCAGCTTGATATTGGAATCATATTAGATTTGAGACATATGAATTAGAGATGGAGAAGGATTTGTTGTTTCTTTTTCTTTATTTTTATGTTGCCTATAAATATACATGGTCTATGTATATTTTAGGGGGTGATTTTTAATGAGAAGGAAAAAGGAATTTATTTTCTCTCTCTAGAAAATTAGGGTTTATGTTCTCATCTAATGGAGGCTCCCACAAGCCTAGTTTTCCAAGGTCATTCATGGAGGTTTATGAGTGATTCCTAAAGGCAAAACAATTACCAAGAAGATGGAGATCCAAGGAGAATGCATCTTGCTAAGGGATCTACAATAAGTGAGAACATTCACTTTAGAGGAGAGATTTAAGGTTTACTCAAACCTTGATGTAAGTATTCAATCTTTTTATTGAATGATACATCATGTTTTATTTTTGCATAAAACTTGTCTCTATGTAATGAATCAAGATCTATGAATTTAAATCCCTCAAAAAGTTTTTAAAACTAGCACGTTTCCCAACAGTGGTATCAGAGTATGGTTTGATTCATTACTAGAGATCATGTTTTTATCAAAATTCATCATTCATGGATCCAAAATTATATTCATATATATTTTTATTGATGTATGTTGATGTATGGTTTAATATGTTGATATATATTGATACATGATGATGTATGGATAATTGTGAATGAATGATGATGTATGGTTGGGCCATGGATGAAGCTTATAGGAATATTGAATGTAATTTTAACTTTGGATGAATGTAATTAAGGCTTTGATTTAGTCGTTTGAAAGTTCAATGATGTAATTTATTTTTCCCATTGTATTTCAAGTTGTAAATATTTTTTTAAAGCCATGTAATATTCATCGAAGGATGCTATGAAGCTTCAAGAAGGTCCAAAAGGGTTAAATTATGCTTCAGTAATTTTCTAAAATTTTTCCAAATTTTTTGGAATTTTTCTGGAATTTTTTGAGGCTTAATTTAATTTTCTGGGAATTTTTTTTTGATTTTCTGGAATTTTCGGCGATTTTCGGGCGACCGGAGCAATGCCGGCGGCGAGGGATAGCGTCGGAAGATGGACGTATAATCCAATGTAGCAGCACCCATGGTGCACTGAAGAGGACAACCAATGGAAAAGCGCGTGAAGTACACACGCTGACAAGGTCAGCATTCTGGCGCGTGAGATACACGCGCCAGACAAAGTCAACCATCCGGCGCGTGAGGAACACGCGCCGGACAAAGGAACCTTCCCCACGCGCGTGCCGGCGCGTGGCAGCGCGTGGCATGCACTGAATCATCTTTCCAGCGCGTGTAAGCGCGTGGGAGAGCGTGGCACGCGCTAGGACTCTCTAGAGGCGCGTGGGAGCGCGTGAATGACCTTCCAGGTGCGTTTCAAGCCTCATTTTGCTTCTCCTAGCGCGTATCAACCTCCTGCGGGTGTTTTCATGCTGATGGAAGACCATCATGCAGTTATTAGAGCAATTAAATGTTAAAAGCTGATTCCATCGGCCATTTTATTTGCTTTATCTGTCATTTATTTATTTATGCGATGTATGAAATGCATGGAATATATAATTGTTAATTAATTATTATTCATGCATTGGATCCATGATATTTATTTAAATGGCTTGATTTATATTAATTAAGTTATGAAAATTAATTGGATCTGATTACTAATTAATTTGAGGGCACTTATTGGGAAACGCAAAATTATTTTTTGTAAATTATTTTTAAAGTGTGCTTCAAATTAAATATTAGTGAATCGTTTAAAGTCCAAATATTTTCTAAATTTAATTGGATTAAAATCAAGACGTTTTGCATGCATTATATCATGTAAATGAATAAAATGAAAACCCTAATTATGGATGATTAAAAATTGAGTGGGAGCGGGGATTTTTATACATTGCCCCATGGCCTTCGTTATTAACACCATTGTAATTAGGTCTTCAAAAATAAGGCCCCACGCATGATTTGAAGAGTCTTAATATTATAAGAATGGTTATCTCATAAAAATAATAATATTAAATGTTCATTGTAATTAGATCTTTAAAAATAAGGCCCTACGCATGATTTAAAGAGTCTAGATTATAATGACAAGATATTTAATGTTTTATTTTTCATTAGAGTATTAATAACGTTATATACTCAATCTAAAATCAATAGTGTTAGCTCCCCAACGGAGTGGTCTATACTAGGTGATTTTAGAAAGGCTAAACATAATCGGAAATCATTTCATATAGATAGACAAGGCATTGTCTTAAGAGATATGGAAATGATGGGATTTGCCTGCCAATAGCAATAATGAACTTCGCCAACCGAATAAATTATTGGCGTATTGGTTATTCGATTTTTCATGGAGTGGTTAAGGGACCCACATATTATTATTTTAATGGAAGTGCTCGCCTAATAGCAAATGAATCTCAATAATAGTAATAATGAACTCCTCCAACAGGATAAGTTATTGACATATTGATTGGTTGATTTATTATGCTACAGAGTTGAGGGACCCGCATTAATTAAAAGGGATTGTTCACCAGTAATGATAATGATCTCTTGTTCGATTGAGATTTATTGTATTATGTGGTTAACAAGCTCATTTTAATTTTAAATATGCATGACATTATTAATAATTCACCTTGCATATTGTATGAATGCATTTATATTCAGATTAATTATGTCTAATCCAGTTTATCTGCTTGCTTACATTTTCAATGTAACTGGATCTCATTAATATTGACCGAGAAAGGAACTTAGATATTTTATTCACAACGTGGTGGTACAAATGTATTTACTACTCCTAAAACCTAATCCTTTTACTTTAAGATACCCAAGAGAACATTAATGCTTTGAATAAGTGAAATAAGGCAAATGAGATGAATTGGTGCAATATTCTAGAGTTTACCTCGAATACGCTCCAAAGCTAACGTTTACATTATTTTATTTTCTTCAAGCATCATGTTAAAATTTAATAAGATGTTTTGGTGAGATTAGATAGAGAGTATGCCAAAGTACTATGTCAGACTTGAATAGCATCAAGATAGCCTAAGGAACTCCAGTATGAAATCGAATTTTGAAAAATGATTGTTTATTATTTAAAAATTAGCTGGAGATCAATAAGGCTGACTTGGGTGGTAAGTTTCAAGTTGACATGATTATTGCTTGGTTACCAAACTCGTTCGACTCTGTTAGAGTGAACTAAATAAGGAATCAGTTTGAGTTCACACTCGCTGATATTCTTATAGAATTGGTAACAGATGAAGGGATAATTAAGAGTATGGGCGTTCCTATAAATCTAACCTAGTCTATACCATCTTCTTCTAGGCCCAAGTGGACGGGCAAAGCAAAGAAGAAGGATGATAATAGGACTAGACTAGCACAAAACATGGGTATTCAAAAAGGTTAAAGGGAATAAGGCAGTGTATGTTGAGGGCGAAGAAAACTGTTTCTTTTGTCGCTAACTAAAACACTAAAGGACGAACTGTTTAAGGAATGACGTGGCATAGGAAAATATATATTTAATCATTGAGCCATGTTATGTGGTTGCGTCTATTAATTCCTGATGGATAGATTCTGGAGCCACTAAACATATTTGCAATTTATTGTAAGGATTTCAGGAATCCAGAAGCCTTGATGATATGGATATATATTTATCTTTTGACCTGATGCCAAGGTTGTAGTTAAGTCAGTGGGAGTATTACATCTGAAATTAGAGAGTATGAGGATATTAGTATTAGAGAACTATCTTTATGCACAGAAGTGAAACGCAATCTCATTCTTATTTCACTTTTGGTTTATAAAAACTGTGTTGTTATTTTGTAAAACTGGTTTTATAAAATTGAATAGATATGCGATTGCTTCTTGTGCATTGAAAGATGGTTAATATACTATAATCACAAACTCTTAAGATTTGCAGGATGTGAAACTAATGTTGCATCTTCTAGATTGAATGTTAAGAGAAAAATTGTTATTCCTGACTCATTGTATTTTTAATGTCTATTTTTGGGTTGTTATCAATCAAAATAAGATTCAAAGATTGGTCAAAGAAGGTTAATTACCTAGTGAGGCAAGGGAGCCTAAACCAAACTTGTGAACCCTGTTTTGAAGGATAGACAACTCTTAGGGCTTAATCAGCCAGATGAAATAGACATAAAGGACAATTGGAGTCGGTACACACTGACACGTGTGGTCTTATGAACATCTAAGCAAGATTACTCACGTTTTGGATAAGTTTATCTGATGCAACACAAGTCTTAAACTCTTGGTATTTTCTGAGAAGGTTAAGACTGATGTGGAACACATATTAGGTAAACTTATCAAGACACTTCGATCTGATCGAGGATATGAGTATTTCTTGGGATAGTGCAAAGACTATATGGTCAATGAGGGTATTATTTACCAGTTTTCCGCAATTGACGCTAAATGTATTTAGGTGTCAAATAGGAATAACAGAATTCCACTTAACATGGTTAGATCTATGATCAGCTATGCTACATTATCTCTTTCATTTAAAAGTTTAGCGTTAATGACATTGATGCGCATTATGAACTGCATTCCATCTTAATCTGTCTCAAGGATACCGTTGAGCTGTGATTTTTACTAAATATTAGTTTGAATCATATGCACATATGGGGTAGTCTTGCACATGTGCGCTTGATATGGACAAGTAAGTTGGAAGCAGATCATAGGCATGCTAGATTTGATAGCTACTCTAAATGTCACTAGGATGGATTATTTTATGATCTCAAAGATAAAAGTTGATTGTTTTCACTCACTGTTTATCTATAGGAGAATCATATTATGAATCACATACCTAGTAGCATAATGTTAGAGAATTTGGTATGAGTACCAGATGTACCACATGTGAACACACTTATTATAGAGATTGAGAATAATATATGAATTCCCTATTGATGCGTTAGCATCATCTACTACACAGATTCTTGCATCGGTACATTGATGTAGTGGGAGGATTATCATCCAATTCGACAGAATCATGTTTTTAGGTGAGACCATTATGGACATCCCTGTTAAACATGAGTTGGACCCAGTAAGCTACACGGAAGCGTGAACCGATGTGGATACAGATCGTTTTGGTGAGTTACTATGAAATCAGAGTTGGAATCTATGTATTCTAATAAATTCTAGGATCTTGTAGAACTTTCTAGTAGGGTGATTCCTATGGAAGGCAAGTTAATCTACAAAAAGATACCAGAAGATTTCTTAGTGAATAAATCAGGAGTGTACAAGGGAATGTCATTATTTTTCTAATTCTATATATATTGATGACATCCTACTCATTTAGAATGATGTGGAAGTTTTGTCATCAATAAAGAGGTAGTTGTTCAATTACTTTTAAATGAAGGATTTTCAGGATGTAAGCTAGATTCCTATGATCAAGCTTTTGCAAGATCAGGTTAAAAGGAAAATAGGCTTATCTTAATAATCCTACATTGATAAAGTTTTGACCAGGTTTGGTATGCATAACTCAAAGAATGAGTTCTTGCTTTATTGATATGGATGGCTCTCTCTAGTAAGTAGTTTTTCAAGACTATCAAAGGAGATTGAGCAAATGAGACTGGAACAATATGTTTCGGCATATGAGAGTCTCATATATGCCATGGTCTATACCAAACAGGACATCCGCTACATAGTAGGGATAGTCAGTAGAGATCAGTCCAATACTGGACTTGACAACTGGTTTATTGTGAAAAATATCATTAGGTACCTAAGGAGAACAAATGATATCATATTCATTTATGGATGTGATGATATGGTCCTAGTCAGGTATGCTAGTTCTGATTTTCAATCAGAAGTAGATACTATGAGGTTCATGACTTAGTGTATGTTCACTTAATGGAAGGGAGATCAGTTGGTAGATTGTTAAGCAGATTTCAACTGCTGACTCAAACCTGTAGGTGGAATATATTGCAGCCTTAAAGGCGGCAAAGGAAGCCTATTAGTTTGATCTCACTGATTTAAAGGTTGTGGAGTATACTAGCCTGCCTATTGAGCTATGTTGTGACAATAGTGCAGAAGTAGTCCAAACCAATGACCCAAGGTTCCATAGAGGAACAAGATACACTGAGAGGAAGTATCATGTTTTACATGATATTGTCCGGCAAGAAAATGCACTTGTAGTTAGAACATTGCATTGGAACACAACTTTGTTGATCCATTATCAAAGGTGTCATTGATCAATAATTTTGATCATCATCTGGATAACATTGGAGTTAGGTGCAATTTGAATTGGCTATGAGGGCAAGTGGGAGCTGTTGGGATTTATATGCCCTGGCATAGCAAATTCCTATCTGGATTATAGTGACATATGTTCCTGACATATCTGAAATATTTATGATTTATATAATTGGTGAATTCAATGTATTGTGTTTCGATTCACTGTGAAATTGATAGTGTCCATGTAATTACAAGAAATATTTATATATATGTATGTGATGGCAATCAATGCATGATATATAAATAGTAATTATAAATTGTTCATAGTCGGTAATTATGGATGGACTCATAATTAATTAAGACTTGAACTGGATCCGCGTTAGGTTGAGATATATTGCGAGAGCCGTCGTATGCAATTACTCCCTATCACCGTCATGGCATTTGACTCTTAAGCATGAGAAAAAGTATAGACTCTTTTATTAATTAATAATTACTTTGATTTGTTCGGCGGATTCTTCGGGATCCTTAGACCGACACTTTGGGTAGTTATGTAATTAGTAGTTAGAGGGTTATATTTTCAATATTTGCATCATTACTACTTGTATTTATTTTGTATTGATTATGGTTGATCACAAAGTAAATTCGAAGGCCTTTGTGTGTTTTTAGACAAAATGATTTATTATATATTTATTTATTTAAACTATTATTTTTGTCAAACAAATGTTTTATTGTGATCGAGCCAGAAATAATCAGAGGTACCAAAATAGATATATTAATTAAGTAGTCGGATTGATGGCTTTATTTATCCGATAACTAATTATGCATAGAGGGGTCAAAGTGCAATATTGACTTAGAGGTTATTTATTATTTAATTGGAGTTCAATTAATTTCTTTTAGTGGAGTAGAAATTAATTTATGAATTAATTGAATTGGGTCCATGGACCGGGCCAATTATTAATTCATTGTAGCCAATAAAATAATAGGCCCAATGGATTCTCACTCATAGCCCAACTTGATATTGGAATCATATTAGATTTGAGACATATGAATTAGAGATGGAGAAGGATTTGTTATTTTCTTTTCTTTATTTTTATGTTGCCTATAAATATACATGGTTTATGTATATTTTAGGGGGTGATTTTTAATGAGAAGGAAAAAGGAATTTATTTTCTCTCTCTAGAAAATTAGGGTTTATGTTCTCATCTAATGGAGGCTCCCATAAGCCTAGTTTTCCAAGGTCATTCATGGAGGCTTATGAGTGATTCCTAAAGGCAAAACAATTACCAAGAAGATGGAGATCCAAGGAGAATGCATCTTGCTAAGGGATCTACAATAAGTGAGAACATTCACTTTAGAGGAGAGATCTAAGGTTTACTTAAACCTTGATGTAAGTATTCAATCTTTTTATTGAATGATACATCATGTTTTATTTTTGCATAAAACTTATCTCTATGTAATGAATCAAGATCTATGAATTTAAATACCTCAAAAAGTTTTTAAAACTAGCACGTGAAGATAAAAAATCCCAACAACCATAAGTGAAATAAGTAAAATGCCTAAAAGAGGGACTATAATCAAAATCACAAGTGTGTTGCTCTTCTCTTTATTAGCATCATTGTTCTTTGTGGGGGCGCAAGCCTTCAAACTAGTGGCATTGCCGCATAAAGCTTTGTTATTACGGAATGCATTAAATGATGCCTCCTGAAAGGCTTTATTTTTTGGAACAGGACCCTGCAACTGATTGTATGATACATCAACAGAAGTCAAACTTAACATACCTTCAAAAGTCAATGGAATGGATCCAGAAAGCTTATTGTGGGAGAGATTCAATGCTTCTAACTTCTCCAATTGTCCAAGTTGGGTTGGTATTTTCCATTTTAATAAATTGTGGCTGACATCAAGGTTTTCAAGAGAGTGTAAATTGCCTATGCCAAAAGGAATACCTTCAGCAAGAATATTTTTGCTCAAATTCAAATACAATAGTTTCACACACTCTCCTAACAGTCCCGGAATTGAGCCCTTTAGATATTTTGCTGCCAAATTAAGACGTTCCAAGTCTGACAGCTCACCAATTTCCAAAGGAATGTTTCCTGAAAGTTTGTTGTTGTTTAAATCAAGGTTTATCAATGAGGTTAACCTTCTTAAACTCTTTGGGATTTTTCCAATGAGATGGTTTGAAGAGATGTCAAGTACACGTAGCTGAGTTGCATTTCCCAATTCAGGTGGTATCTCACCAGAAATATTGTTGTTGGACACTCTTAAGCTTATAAGATTATGGCACTGGCCCCATTTACTAGAAAGCTCACCGAACATTTTATTATCACTCAAATCAATATAATTTAAGTTTTGATATATGCCGAAATCATTTGATATATTTCCAGAAAGTTGGTTTCTTTCAAGCCTAACTCTGAATAAGCTAGTGCAACTCTTCAAGCTGTTAGGGGTTGGACCTGTGAGATTGTTGCCAAATGCAGTGAAATTTACAAGTGTTCCACCACGGCATATGTTATGTGGTAAATGACCAGTAATCTCGTTCTCACTCAACTGCAAGTTTTACAAATGGGTAAGATTATTTAATTCTATAGGTATAGATCCAGTGAATTTATTATCAGATAAGGATAGAGACTCGAGGGATTTCATCCTTCCTATTTCTCGTGGGATAGAGCCAGATAACAGGTTTTCGTACAAACTAAAGCCCAAGACCTTGGTCAAGTTCCCAATAGTGGATGGAATGGATCCAGAGAGTTGATTTTCGTGAAGGGGCAACATGGTTAAGTTGCATAAATTCCCTATCGAAGAAGGTATTGGACCTGAGAAGTTGTTCTCGGACAAATCGAGATTGACAAGAGACCTCAACATTCCAATTTCTTGAGGGATGGGTCCCGATAGTTTATTTTTATAAAGGTATAAAGTGTTTAAGTTGACCAAGTTCTTCATCCAAGCATGTATTGAACCTGAGAAGAAGTTCTCGAACAACTCCAAATCGACAAAAGACCTCAACATTCTAATTTCTTGAGGGATGGGTCCTGAAAGTTTGTTGTCATAAAGGTATAGAACGGTCAAGTTGGTCAAGTTCCACATTGTAGCAGAGATTGGACCTATGAGATTGTTGGTCGCGAGTGACATCTCAGTGAGCGACATCAGTTTCCCTATCTCAGATGGAATTGCTCCAGAGAGAGAATTAAAAGACAAGTCAAGATAGGTGAGCTTGGAAAGGCTAGTGATGTGGTTGGGGATTGTCCCGTAGAGTGAATTGTTATAAAGATCGATGCTACGGAGATGAGGGAAGCATGAGAAGTTGAGATAGTGAAGTGTACCTCTTAAACCAACACTTTGAAGGCGTATGTGGGTGACACTTCCATTACCCTTTTTGCAATGAATCCCAACCCAATTGCAAGGGCTGCTACTGGTGTTTGGAGCCCAGGAGGAGAGAATTAGAGATTGGGTTTGCTTGTGAAGAGCCTCTCTTTCCTTTTCTCTAATTGGAGCTGCAGAATAAGAAGAAGAAGCTTCACAAGCAGTGAAATGGGAAAAAGAAAGCAACACCGCAAGGATGATGATGATGATGGGAAATAATAGACGTTTGAAATTAAAAAGAAATTGGTTGTGGAATTTCATTGTGGGTTTGATACTATAAGAGGGCAATTGGTTGGATGGATGACGAAGGGCTCCAAGTATGGAGAGGCTTTTATAGAATACAATTAGTATGTGAAATATACACACACAAATCCCACTTTGGGCTGCCCCACTGCTTGGGAATTCAACTTCTTGATAATGAAAACATGGTTTTCTATCATGAAATATTATTCTTTTGTCAAAAGTCGGTATCAAAATAGATCTTAATACTATTCTTTTGTCTTTCATGGGTCCATTCAAAAGATCTAATACACACACAAATCCACTTGGGTTTTCAAAAGCCAGTATCATGAAATTCCTTCTTGCATGGTAAAATATTCTCTCCAAAGTACAGGGTTGGTTGGTTTTTTTTTTTGTTTGGTCGGAAGGAATAAAAGGATAATTCTTATATTATTTTTATCAATATAGCCTCATTAGTCACATCTCATTGGGTTTGGGAAGGTTCAAAATGTAAATTAAAATAGATTGATTGAGAAGGTGGATGGATCATCACACCAGTGATGTTGAGAGGACAAAGTATAACACGAGATTTCTCTATCTCTAACAAACTCATGATAGATTTTATTTTAAATATATTTTAATACGAAATATTATAAATCACAAAATATTTCTATTACCTTTAGTTACAAAAGTAATAAAAAAAAATGAAAAACAATGAAAAGAACCAAAACTCGACTAACGAAATAACTATTTATGGATTTTATGAATCAATTAGATTGTCAAAAGTAAAAAAATTATAAAAATATAACAAATTCAGTCTCTCATAATTTTCAATCAACAAGTAGTCACTGAGCTCATTCCATATGCACGAAAAGACTCCAATGAGTTCTACATCAGTGTCCAACTTGCTTATGAGGTTTGAGTTCGTTTAAAATCTAAAATTAGGTTCTTTCGTGAAGTTTTAATGAATTTTAGTAGTGCTTTTGCATTATTTTAAAGTTCACACGATTTTCTAAATTCAGTTTGTTTTGAATTTTTGTGAGCGGTCTATATTTTGAATTTAGACTTATCATTTTTGGTAATTTTAGACATTATTTATTATTAGATATTTTATTTTATTTTACTTAAGTTAGATGCAGCAATAAATAGTTATAATGCTCAGACTTTCGCACAATCACTCTCATCCCCATGTTCAAAAGCACTAAAATTAATACTTTAATCATGTTCTTGACTCATGCGTCTTTGATCCTTGGACTCGAAGATAATGGCCTTCTTCTTTTTAATGGCGGGGCCAGTGCTACAAATTGATCAAGGAAAAGTCTTCAATTGCTCTTTTATTTGTAATACAAAGACTGCCTCAAAATGTTGGACCGACTTTGGGTCTTCGAACATATCACATCATCAATTTTTTTTTTTTATTAAGAGTGATGTTATTCACTTTGACTAGCTTAGTTTAAGAGTGGTTTGTACTCGTACATCAGACATATATATTTTAAACCTGAGTATTTTTGCACCTTGTAAGAATCGAATCTAGTTAGGGTGTCCGAGTTTATAGTTTGTCCCAAGAGAATGAATCCTTATTTACTGAGTCACCCGTGGAGGTTATCATTCTCTTGTTCTTGTGCATTAATCAGAATGATTTATATCATAAGGTATCTAAGATGGTAAAACAAAATTCTTGTAAACAGTCTCAAGTAATTGAAATAAGAGTTATCGGCTCCCTATGGAGCTCGAAACCTATTAAACTAATATTTCGGTGGTTAGAAAACATAACTTTTGATTACTCTCTCTCAAAATAGAATTCTTATAACTGATCTCAAGTAATTGAAATAAGAGTTATCGACTCCCTATATAGCTCGAACCTCATTTCCCTTTTGAGTAGAAGAGATCCATTGGACTAATACTTCAGTGGTTAGAAAACATAACTTTTGATAACCCTCTCTCAAAACAATTCTTGTAATCGATCTCAAGTAATTAAAATAAGAGTTATCGGCTCCCAATATAGGTCGAACCTCTCTTTTTCCTTTCGAGTAGAAGGGACCCGTTTGACTAATATTTCAATAGTTAGAAAACGTAACTTTTGATTATGCGTGTCATATAATTTTGATAAACAATACTCGTCTATGTTTTTTTTCTTCTCTTGGTTGTCAATTTCAACATTTCTTTGTCAAAGTGGGGTCAACTTTTTATTTTTATTAAATGATGGCGTGTAAGATTAATTACCATTTCAAGCTAATTACTTGAACACACCTTGGTGGTATCTTTCTATGACATACGTAATGTGTTCACATGAGCATAAATTATTGTTCTTGCTATAAATGTGTGTGCTAACCATCAAAATTAATTTTCCCCATGTTCAAAAGCACTAAAATCAATCCTTTAATCATGTATAATCTTCACAAAAATCCTTACCGACAGAAAAAAAATGCTCTCACCTCTCTCTACCTTTCTCTCTCTAACCAAACAGTCGTCTTCTTCCTTCTGCACTCCTCGCTCCCTTCCATGGGAGTGGGGAGCTGCTAGCTTCCTCCCACAGTTACACTAAACCTGGCTTGTTCGAATAAGTACGCTCCGTGGGTTTTGTTTACTCCATTATTTTTGGCCCAATGGAAAGGCGACATGTGACGAGTTCCAATGGAACTTACCATACTGAATTGCAACTCTAATAAGTTATTATTAGAAGCTATGTAATATTACGTAGTAATTGAAATCAAAAACAAGTGGGCAATACAATCCTACTATGTGGGGTTCTATTTTAAAAGGAAAGAGGTGGGACTTGCCACCTTTAAAGCAAGGGCACACATCTTCCTATATGGAATGAATTTTTCCACACATGGCGAGTTCTATGAAACTTACCATGAAATATTTCAATACTTTTAGGAATTGTTTGTTTGTTATAAAGATTTTAGGGGGCCAAAGATTGTATATTCCTAAGTAAAAAGAAGACTTACCAAAGGTGGCAAGACTAAAAGTTGACTAAGCAAGGTAATGGGGCCGGATTTTCTCCTAAATTATAGGAGGCTTCAACAGATAATTTGGCTAAGTCAACTACGTGGCTAATAAGAAGGAAGTTGGGTGATGGATATATATATATATATATATATATATATATATATATATATATATATATATATATTGAAATACAATCCACGATGAAGAGCTGCTGAAATTAAGGAGTCCATGGCGCCATGGATTCCAAACTCAGAAACGAAAGTCTAAAGGAGGGAAGTTACCAAAAATTCAAGGAAACGTGGGTTTACAGAAGAATAAGGGACGTGGGGAATATCTGTATTTATGGATATATATTTATGTATATATATTTATATATCAGATATAACTCATGAAAGGGAAATCACTGAAAGAAGAGACCACGACGCCATGAATGGAATATTTCCCACGATGAAGAAGTTACTGAAATTCAGGGACCACGACTCCATCAAGCAAGAAGGGAAAGTCTGATTAAGGAAGGTTACTAAAATATGGAGATCATGGTCAGTAGACATGGGGGATGATGTATTCATGGATATATATATTTACATATATATTACCCATGATGAAGAAATCACTGAAAGAAAGGGGCCACGGTGTCATGATACAAAGACTAGAATGGAAAGTCCAACCAGAAGAGGTTACCTAAAGCCAAGGGAACGTGGGTATATGAATAATTTTTATATACATGCATGATCTATATAGAAATTATACAGAAGGAACGTTCTACAAAAAGGGAAGACTATTAGAAATCGTGGGACACTTGGCCAAACAAGAATACGTCAGTTGAAAGTGGTGGAACTTCATCTGGTAACTACCACTAACTGAGGGAGTGTTTGAAGATAATGGATGATATAGCTAAATTAGGGGAATCATGGTCTAAAATAAAAGAGAAGACCATGCATGAGGGAGAAGACTAAGGAAGACATAGGACAGGTGGCACGATCCGGACCTTCCAGGTAGAAGTTCTCAATTGCTGCTGGAAACCGCTGCCTTTCCATCTAGGCAGTTCCAAAACGTGGGAGAAGGCTTACAAGCATGTATTCAACCACCAAACCCACTATCTATCAGTTATAAATCATGGGAGAATTTGGTTTTATGCTTGGCAACATTTAAAGAAAGTTGAAAGATCATGGGGCACATGACAGTCCGAAATTTGGCCACGTAGAAGTTGCTGAAGCTGCCACACCAAGCTGCTGCATGCAAAGAAGCTCTATAAATAGAGCACTCAAGGCTAGTTTGCAAGGTTTGCCTGCCCAGCCTAAACAACACATCAACACAAGCACCTTTGCTTTTATGTATCTCTCATTTCAACAATGAATTTACATTATGTCTAAACTTAGCACTTTGTTAGTACATGTATTTCCATTCTAGCAATGAATACATATTATTTTATGTTGAGTCCAGCACTTTGCTATTCTATATAGCTTTAATTTCATGCGATGAATTTTCAGTCATGTACTCTTTTTGCTACTTTTAGCCAAGCACTGCACTTCAGTTATCTTAATTTCCAGTCCTGCATTTCAATTATTCTAATTTCCAGTCATGCACCTTCAATACCGTCTTCATTTCCATTAGTCATAGAATAGTTTGAAGCCCTTGTTCAAAGGAAAAAAAGACCCTTCGAATGTGGTCATTCCAGATCGTCGTATAATCGCCTGATCCCTACAACTTTCCAACTGGATAATCGTTTGGATTTTTCTACTTTGGAACTACCGTAGTTCCTGGCACGCTCGCACACCACACTATTCTACTCACACTTCTACTATTCTAAGCAATCCAAAAAGCGGAACCAGCGTTTTTTCGCGAGCCGAACATATTGGCAAGCTCGGCGGGACATCTAGACAGATTGTTCAATGGCCGGTGGAAAAAGGCAAGGCAAATCTGTCCAAGACCCTGCCAAAATTGAAGAGTTGCAGGCCAGTGACCTTCCAACTGAGGTTCACAGTTTGCACTTGATGAAAGTGACATGGTGGAAAAGTTTGCCCAAACCATGGCAAATGGACTTATCATGGATAATATCCGCATGATGGCCATGCAACAAGATAGGTTTG